ACAGTGGTTCGAGTCAGCCCGAGCTGAGCAGCCGTGAGCTGCCAACAGGTGGCGGGATGGCTCAGCTAAAAAAAAAAAAAAAAAAAAAAAGAGTTCCCTGGTCAGACTGCGTGGAGCAGCGTCCTGGCTTAGTCTCACTTTGACGCGAGCCCTGGGCTAGCTCCTTGACCTCTAAGCCTCACGTCCTGCTTTATAAGCTGGAGATGACAGTAAGTCTACAGTGCTTTAGCTGCTATAGAGATTAATTCAGTTACACGTAGAAAGTATACACCGCAGCTCCTCCTCAAACCCCAGAAGGGGAATCACTGAGATCCAGGGTGTAAACTTCAGGATTTCTGATAAATACTGCCAATTAGCCTTCAGAAGAGCTGCACCGTTTTTACATACCTACCAGTAGTGCATGTCAGGTTTCAACTTATCCTTGCCAGCACCAATTCGTTTAAATTTTTTATTTTTGTTAATTTGATTAAAAAAAAAGTCTATCACGTAAATTTGCATTTATCTGATTATAAGTGTGGTTGAACAGTTCAAGTTTAATGGGCCACTTGAACTCCTTTTGTGAAGTGCCTCTTCAGATCCTTTGCTGATTTTTCTACCAGTTTTTATCTTTTTTTGTACACTATTTTATTTTCTTTCTTTTTTGTACATAACAGGTAAGTATAACGCCTGTGCAGAATCTGTGCTTTATTAAAGTAGGAAAAGTTTAATATGTGCCTGAAGAACACTTTCAGGGTACCGAGAAGGGACATTTGGGGATACCACCGTGGACAACATTCATTCGCAATGAATACATTTGATTTGGGAATACACTTCAAGATACTGGACAAGAGCAGGAGTTTCTGTAAAAGGGCCAGAAATAGCTTTGACTCAGCTTCAGCTTCATGTGCTTGGGAAGGAACGGAGCCAAAAGGAAAGCTGACCGTGCCCACAGAAGGAGACAGGGCTTACAGAACATGCAATGAAGGAGCACTTACGTCGTTAGCCCACGATCCTGCAATAAGAAAGTTCCCCGGCAAGGTTGGTGGGCTAAAAGATAGACAACCAATGCTGTCGTCAGGAGAGGATGTTACTTCAATATCCTGGGGGGAAAGTCAACATTAGAAATGTATGCGTCATCGTGACTTCATTCAACATTGCTTTCTTTCTCACTAAACACCTCAGAGTGGACTTTCCCTGTGTGTTCAAGAACTAACTGAATTAGATCTTTCTTACTTTGATAAAAAAGGGGGTTAGTAAGCCAGTGAAAGTACTAGAACTGCTGGGACTAGATGCTGCACTCTAAATGAAATGCCCACAGCCCCGTTTGCCAGGTGATGACCCCCCAGTTTACTCTTGTCCCCAAGTGCTTGGACCAGTTATCACCTGTCCTCCCTCCCTGCAGGAATCCTGATTCACCAGTGTGGGCTGGGCCCTGGCAACCTGCAGTTTTAACAAGCACCTCGGGTGATTCTGATGACTGGGAAAGTTGGGGGGAACAGGGCGCTAGTCCAGGGAACACAGTTTTTATGCTCTGGTGTTTGAGGAAGCGGGTAGACAAAGTTTCAGAGCTTTCACCCCAAAGGAGGCTCCCAGCTATCTCGGGTTCTCCTGCCGTGACTGCTGTGGGAAACCCCAGCCTGCACACTCTCTACAAGCCCGCCAAGCCTCAGGTGGTACCTTCATCGGGTTGTGGTTATCTGTGGTTGTGCTGCCAAACATGCTGGTCCCACCAGTTCCAAAACCCGAGGTTGTTCCAAACAGACTCATTTTGACCCTAAAAAACAATGGAAAACGTTAAGGACAGGTCCTTTCTTAAGTAATAAACATCACTGAGAAGCAACATAAAGCCAATTAAGTCACAGAAGGGAAACAAAGTCTAAATGGTTTGATGCTGGGTCACTTTCTTTTGAAAAGCTCTAAATATATGAGAAGCTGAGTGCTTTATAAAAATGAACCTTCTATTTTAGATTAGCTTTAGATTTACAGAAAAATGTAAATACAGGAGAGTTCCCATACACCCCACATGTAGTCTCCTTTTTGCATTTGTCCATTAATAAAGCAATATTGACACATTATGGCAGAGTACTTTTCCAGTCACCAGCTAGAAAATAAATCCGCTCCTTTACACAGTTAGAGGCCCTGAGCTGAGCACCAGGAACACGACAGTACCCACAAGTCCCCCCTCTTCTAGGTTCCCCTTAGTGAGAGTTCACGTTCTTCTTACTTCTGCAGGCTGGTTTAGGTCAGTCTCTCTGCATGAAGTTACCGACAAAAGCAACCTGTCCTGGCAGCCATTCAGCAATTTCTTTGTAGCAGAAGTTTAAAAAAGTAACCCACTTTGGTCTGCTTGAGCACCAAAAAGTCTTTGACATTTACCAGCAAGGATCCCACTTTGAATTTTCTCCTGAGCACACGGTCTGGGAGGCCTACCAAGGTTTGGACCGTGCCACTCACCAGAGCTGGGACCCTAATCTCAAGAGGCCTCATTTTCCTGCTCTGCAAACACAGAATATTAACACTTTCTCCAGGGGTGCTCAGGAGATCCAATTAGATTATCTGTGTAGAAAGTGCAGTGTCTAGCACAGAATGTGCACAACAAACAACTGTCCTTGCAAGGAGAAAGTCTATGTTTATAACCCCCTGATGACCCACACGTTGATGCCACATTTTCATTCTGCCACAGGTTACCAAATTTTCACACTGAGAAATCTACCGTGTCGGTCACCTCTCCCAAAGGGGCCTAGGAGCTGAGCAATGTGCTCACTAACAGGGCAGCATCCCTAAAGAAGACAACACAGAATGGGGAAACTGCTAGGATTTTAGGAAAGGCACCTGAGTTTCCTGAGCTGCATGAAAAATAAGCAAGTGCAGACATACTAGGTAAAAGCAACAGCTATGAGCACATCACTATCTCAGAAAGCGACCTTGTGAGAGGACGTAGTGCTTGCCGACCACCTCTGCTTTGAATGTTACCGAAGTACTCCAAACCCCAGCTAACCGCACGAGCACACAAAGCAACGACAAGGACTCTGCAACCAGGGTCTAGGGACCAGCTACACGGCTTTGGACAGGTTATTAGGCCTTGGTTTTCTCATCCATAAAAACAAGAGTCACCAATGTCCACTTCACAGAGTTATGAAAACCAAGTGAGGGCACACACACAGCTCCATCCCGCTCTCCAACCATCAACGTGGCCGGGAACATTTCTGCCATTAGAGCTCACGGACGGGCAAGGCTCATCCAAGTACCAATCAGCCTATGGGGACCACACATTACGCAGGACACTGGGACCCCTCAAGTCCCCGTCTCCAAGCTACCCAATCGCCCCTCGCGGCCCTAGCTGCACCCCAGCCCCACTGGCTCTGCTGCAAGCTCATCCCAGCCCGGGAGCAGCCCGACCAGCTGCGCCTTCAGTCCAGGCTCATTCACCCTCCCCCAAGCCTCCAGCTGCCCCGGTTTGAATCTTCAGCTCCCAGTTCAAGAGGTGCCTCCCAAGAACGTTTTTGTTTGTTTTTTTTTTTAGAGGGGGCGGTGCAGATGTTCTAAAACGCGGTGATGTTTACACAACTATATGTTAAGCTCCCCAAACTCATCAAAATGTGCACTAGACATGGGGTACGGTAGGCTAAGTTATATTTTAACAAAGCTGTTAGAACGTATCTTTTTTTTTTTCTAAAGTCACCTCGTCCGAGGCTTCCCTGCCTTCCTAACATATCCAACTGTCCACCCCATCCCCCCTTGTTTCCCATCTCGATCTGGAATTTCTTGTTTGCAACCAACCTCTTGCCCCCCAAGGAGAATGCCGGCTCCAACAGGGGCGGGGAGCGCCCGGCGCTCAGCACGGTGCCTGGCCCGGGGCGGCGGGGCGGTCATACATACTTGCCTGGGGGGAAGCGAGTGCATGTAGGTAATGAACACCTGGCGGAGGCAGGCAGGAGCCAACAGAAACACTTAGTTTCGGAGAGTCACCAGGGCAACGGGGGAAATCAGGCAGCTCGACGTGGGAGAGACAAAAGTGGGATGCCCTTCGGGAGAAGAACGGTCTAGAAGCGGTGAGTCTCCGAGGTGGCGGCATGTGTGTCTGATGAGAAACCAGACACGTAACGGGGGACGTGCAGAGCGACAGACGATGCCATCAACCCTGTGACCCTTCCCGGTGCCTCAGTTTCCCCACAAGAGAAACGAGAGGTTTTAGGCCCGAGGCGACCGCTAAGGCCCTTCCATCTCTAACGTCACACCCACGGGCCGCTAATGAAGCTCGTCAACGGTCCAGCTCGCGCCCCGGGGCCTCGCTACCGGGCGCACTCCACCGAGGGGACCCGGCCTTGGCGGCGCCAATGGCGGCGGGTAACGAGGGAAGGCGGTGCAGGGCCTACCTGAGAGTCGTGTTGCGGCGGGAAGCCGGTGGCGTGGAGCGGGAGGGGCTCCGGAGCCTGCGACCCCGCTCCGGCGCGGAGGAGGCGAGAGCGAGGTGACGCGAGCCAGAATCCTGAGAGGCAGAGATCGTCTCACGCCGGCGGAGGAAACGGCCCCATTCACCGTGCAGACATCGCGCATGCGCCCCGGAGCCACTTCCGGTCTGGCCCGGAAGGCAAGGTAGAAAAGGGCTCTTCCTGCGGCAAGGCGAAAGGCACATGCGCAGAAGCACTATTGACACCGAGAGGAAGTCCTCCTGCCAGCATTTTGCGGATTGGTCGAAAAGTTCGAATTGCCAAAGGACCGCTTTGATAAATCCTTATTCCAGGCTGGTGGAAGGTAGTGTTTTGTCTAATGAATTAAAAGTCAAGGAAAACTCTGATTGCCTCCAATTCAAGTCCAAGCCCATTTCCTGAGAAGTTGATGGGACGCTGCCCCGGTTCTTGCCTTGGCTTCCTTGTTTGCAAGTCGGGTATCCTGAGCCATCCGGGGCTCTCTGGACCTTAGTTTCCAGCTGTAAAATGGGGATAACGATGCCTAACTTCCAGGACTGTTCTTAATTAGTTTCAAGTGAAGTATCACACGTGAAAGGCTTTTGCTAAGTGTAAGGTTCCATAATGTTAAGGGGCTGTTGTGACACGTGCCAGCTCCGAATATTTCAACTGGTGGCTTTTTTCCCCTTTCAGGAATGTCGGAAGAAAAAAAAGAGGAAGGCATCTCCTGAGGTTGTGATACATGCACTGAATCTTCTTTACTACTCGGTGTGGTCTGCATACCAAGAGCCTCGATATCTGCAGGGAGCTTTAGGATCCGCGGGATCTTGTTATACAATGCACATCCAGTACGTCCAAGGTGGGCCTGAGAACCCACATTCCTAGTAAAGTCTCTGCTGGGGTTGCCGGCAGGGCCACGCACTGCAGTCGAGCACCAAGGATCTAGAGCAGGTACTTAGAATCACTTAAGGGAGCTTTTAAAATCTCTGATGCCTGGGCCTCACCCTCAGATTCTGATTTAGTGGGTCTGGGGTGGAACTGAAGGAATTCATCTTTTTAAAAAGCTCCCAAATGATTCTAAGATGCAGCCAAGATTGAAAACCTCAAGCCTAGCTAATATGATAATAATAGTTCTTTTGTGCACTAGATGATGCCCCTCCTGAAATTTCCAGAGCAGTCCTAACCTCCGTTTTACAGACAAGGAAGGCGAGGCTGAGAGGTAACATGACTTGTCAGAGATCACACAGCTGTTAAGCAGTGGAGCCAGTGAAGTGTGTCCTGTGCCTGACTCCTACCAGCAAAACCTAGCAATCACCTCTGACAAGGACTTCCTCCTCAACCACAGCTCCCCTCATTCTTTCCCAAATGGATCGTTTCATACCATTGTTTCTTTAAAGGAGCAATGGCCCTCTCAAAACTTGTTCAGCCTTATCATCCTCTACCTCATAAAATAGTGTAATTTGCCTTGTCCAGTTTCCTAGATTTTAAACTGTATGTCTTACTCCCATGTATATCCTTTGCAGCACCAAGCACAGTGTCTTACACATATTCAGTGTTAATATTTGTTGAATTATGTTGTTCTATGCCTAAGGAATCCTCCAGACGCACCTATTATGACACAGATTCTTGTATAATACTGGTTATTCGGCATAATTTTTTTTTTTTTTTAGCTGAGCCATCCTGCCATGTTTTGGCAGCTCAGCGGCAGCTCAGCTCGGGCTGGCATCGAACAGCTGTTGCTCAGAGCTCAAACTCTTGAGCGAGCTCTTAACCAATTGAGCCACTTGGCCGGCCCCCAATTCGGCATACTTTAACAAATCTTTCTGCTCGTTAGGATTCTAATTGAAAAGCTGCTTTTGTATGTACCATCAGTGGAACAGCAGCAGCAGCGTGCTCAACCAAATATAACTAACATTCCTTGACTCTTTCTAAAGGGTATTATTCAAACACACGTTACATGAATTATCTCATTTAATCATCACAGTGACTCTATAGGATAGGTACTATCGTTATCCCCTTTTGCAGTTGATAAAACCAAGGGCAGCTGGTAACCTGTCCCAGCCACAGAGGCAGTGAGTAGAAGCGGAATTAGGATGCAAACAGCCTGTCCCCCAAATCTGATGCTACACCTCCACAGATGGCAGATTGTGGCGAATCACCCCACTTTCTCCCCTTAGAAACAAGAAAGGGAATCACCACAATCTGTGCCCGTGGGTATGATTATTGAGCCATAGATTATAGGTGAAAAACTATTTAAAATAATTAAAATTAAGTTTTGGTCATGGCTATCATTCACGCTGGTAAATCCCTCTGCATTTTTTTACACATGGGATATTTATGAATGACTACACAGCTTATATTCCATTTCTAGGTGAATAGAAATAGAATATATTTGTAATTTTGTATCAGCTCCTTTTCATTTGGAGTGAACTTTAATTCTGAAATTCTAATACAAAAATTTTAATATATGGTTTAAGGTTTGTAAATAGCTCAGTGGCAAAGAAGCACACACACATCAGGTGTTCCTTTACGCAGAATTGGGGGCATCCAAAGCTGATGATACAAAATGGATTCCTGTCAAGTACTCAGTCTTACACAGAAATCCTGTTTTCCCTACCCTCTTTTCTTATGTCTCAGAGTCTTTAACCCCATTCCTTAAAACAATGACTTGAAAATGTTTTAAAGAAATGTCCACTCCAAGCAATGGGAGGATTTGAAAGAGCAATAGAGCTTCTGCCAGCAGAGGGCGACCTTGGCTCATTTTTACAGGATTGTTTTTTGGGCTCCAGACCTTTACTGGTGAACAGAAGTAATTTTCTCAGTATTTTAGTACGAAAGCTTCCGTTAAAAAATATTTTTTTAAATGTACATGTACATGTGGCTTAGCTCTGAAAGCTTTTTTTTTTCTTTTCAGCACCACTGAACAGGTCTCTACATCAAACAGTTCAACTGAGACATGATTGAAGGAAGTCATAGGTGGAAATCCTGCAGGGTTTTTTGCCTATTTAGTAGAAAGTGCAATGTGTTTTTTTCTCCCATGAAATCGTGATTTCTGAAATCACTTAGCATCATCAATGATGAGAGTTAAATTTCCCAAAAACCTGGGGATACTACACAAGCTATTTGAGGAGGGTAATTATGAGCCCTTGAGGAAAAAAGATTCTCTGAACACCTTTTTGTTGCACTAGTTTTTATTAGCTTTAATTATAAACAGTTTCCAAGCCAAATATTCTGTCTTGATTAAAATTGTGGAAATATTTAAAATAAATACAGTAGATGATAGTAGAGGGGATGTTTGTTGTCAGTTGCCATTTTCAATAGCTGCCTATTTCACAGTAATCCTCTTTAGAAACAGATCTTAAAAATTAGAATTCTAGAAGATTCCCAAATGGCTAACATTAATTTTTATCAGCATATAATAGTGTATTTTTCTCTTTCCACTTTCATTCCCCAAATAAATGAAAATTATTTTAAGTAAATTTCCAGTCATAAACTTGAGATGAATCTGATTATCCAAACTGAATGTATCTGCAAGCCTTTTTCAAATTTATTTTCAAATTTTAATAACCATTGTAGATTTTTCATTCCTTTCCCTTTGGATAGTTTATCCAGATCTAGACATTTTGTGGCTTAACCATATATTTCTAAGTTAGCAATTTTCTTATTTACAAAACTTGTCAAATTTTAATGATGAATTAGATGTTAATGGAAGATGTATGGTATAAATTCAAGGAAAAAAATTGTGATTTATAAAAATTTTTCTAGAATTTTTGATAGTCTCACAAGTCAAATTAACAGTATACCAGAACATTCAGAACATTCTCAAAATAAAATATTTCGTGCTGGTGTGACCAGGGAATATAACATAATTGTTCACATCACAGGCTTGGCATCAGGGGCCTTGATTGGACAGCTAGCCAACAATAAAATGTAGACTTTTCCCGGCCACATGTGAAGCACTTTACATGTACCAGTGTCATGTGAAAATGTGAGCTTTGGAGCCAGACTCTCTGGGGTTAAGTCCCAGCTCCACTGCTTAGGAGTTACGTGACCTTGGGAAAGTTACTTAACCTCTGTGTGCCTTTGTTGTCTCATCTGTAAAATGGGGATGATAAGTGCCTACTTTATTCATAGGGTTTCTGTGAAGATGAAATTAATTAATGTTCATAAAGCACCTAGAAAAATACCTGGCACATAATAAGTGTTACATAAATTGTCTTCTTTATTGTATTACCTTATTTAATAGTTCCTAGAGCCTCTCGAGTAGGGCCAGCTTCATGCATGTACAACCTGTGCAGTCACACGGCCCCAATGCTAAGAAGGGGCCCATGCTTGGTTTAATTCTCTGCTGCTTTTGTCTTGAAATTCTTAACTTTTGAACGAGGGACCCTGTGCTTACATTTTGCACTGGGCTCTTCATATTCAGCAGCTGGTCCTGTTCTTGAGGTTGATGGTATTATTGTCCCCATTCAGCCATGTCTGACCATGTGGCTTTGGACAAGTAACAGCCTCAGTGTTCTCACCTGTGAGCTATACGTGTAATAGGTTTTCAGTAGACGAGGTTCTTGGGAGAGTTCAGTGAGACAACGTGGAAGCAGTGATTGGCACACATACGTTCTCAGAAACGGTGTCTATAACTATGATTAACATTTATCTTGATAAAATAAGGAAACCAACATAGGAGAAACCAACATTCTTTCTCCTATAAATACATATTCTTGCTTACAAGAATTTTTTTTTGGTATGGTTAAATTTTACTGAAGGTACAGAATAAAATCATAAAACTTATCTCTAGAAAAATTAAGATAAGTTTATGAGGGTAAAAGATCACATCTTTACTGTTACAGAAAGGCCTTATTGAAATTTGAGGCTTCTGTAAATCTTAAAACTGGAGAAGTTCTTTGTTCTATAAACCTAGACTAGAGAAGAATTCAGGTGACCTGAATGTGGGTAAGAACTGATCAAACCAGTGAGAAAATTTTCAAATAAATATATTATTAATAAAAAGTATGCCCCCAAAACAAAATAAAGCACTGAAAACTATTATACATCAACCCAAATATTTATTCCTCATAAAATGTACTAATTTCACAGGTGAATGAATGACGTATGACCTCTATACTATGAAGCAAAAGAAAATGTACCGAAGAGGAAACTGCCAGACACTATAATTCATTTGCTACCTCGCAAATTTAGGTTATTATTATTTTTGTTACTAATAAGATACTTCATGCTTTAACATTAGTTGTACTGTAGAAAGTAAGTAAAATATTTTTGTAGACTTTGATAGCATGTAGAAAATATTTTTTTCAAATAAAGTTTAAAGCTCAAAATAACATTCTTTCATAATTTACTCTAGAACATGGGATAGAAAGCAGTCTCTACAAAGAAAGATAAAATAAACCCAGCTAAAGAAAATCAGAGTACAGCATTTGTTTTGGCAAAAATTAATGGAAAATTATTTTACCTCTATGGAGTTATGAATACATGTCTTTTTCACAACAGTATCTACTACTGGAAAAAAAATAAATGAGAATCCTCTTGCAATCTCAAGATATATTCTGATATATTTTTATATCCATCCTCCAAATTTTAATTTGTTAGGTAAGTATACTCTGGAAAGATAATCTGATGATAGGAAGGTCAAGGCTTGAATTTCTGCCTTCATTTTAGAGTCAGCCATTATGTCCATCTGTCAATAAAATTAAAATATAGTCATACCAGAGTCCTTTGTTATAGTTCTGTCAGCTCAGCAAATTAGTAAATCTAGACTTGTTTTATTCTCCAAAACCATGGGCAATAGCCTTTAGGGATAGCCCGAATATTCTAGAGCTGCTACAGCTAAAATATATCAGAGGAATACTGAGTGTGGATGCCTTCAATAACTAGGAATGGTCTGGGGTCTTTACACTTTCTTTCTCTTTTTTTCCCTTCATAAACTATGTTCGAGCCATAGACAATGGGCATATAACTACGATAAGGATAAAAACAGATGCGCTCCCTCCAGGCGATCTTATCTATTAGCATTCATAATTTGATGTTTTAACAACCGTGTACTCCCAAACAACACCCACCTTAGTTGTTGGTTACATAAAATTTCAAAGAAGATATTTTCAAAATATTATGTGAATGGCCACTACTGAAGTAAAAGGCCCTAAAACATACAACACTTGAATTTTTAAAAAGAAACATACTTCTTTTCTCCAAAATGGTTGGCAAGTAACATAAGGTCTCTTCAGGATACTGTCAAGTTTCATTTGGTCCCGTTTTGTCAATGGAATTAAAGTATCTTTAGGTATGTTTAACCTGGAAAAAAAATTGATGAAAAAATCAGTAAAACCAAAGTACTCCTATAATTTGAATTATGAAATAATTTGTATTTGTACTATTTCAAAAAACTCAGAAATGACAGATAAGAGAATGAGTACAGATCCATCTTTTAAATACAAAATTCTGGGAATCTGGCAGGTCCTAGACCAGCAAGTGTTAAGTTCATACTGGAAGTCTGTTCTAAGTTGTTTTTGCTCACGGCTCACTCACAGGACGATGACAGGAAGACAGACATTGGTTATAAAACAAATGCCAATAGCACCAACATCACGTATATCAACACCAAGGCAGCTCCCAGAGCTCCTCAGCCTTGAAGCATGAGCTCCAAATGTGTGGCCAGCTGTGAGACTCACTGTGGGATTTCAGGTCCCCCTGAGCACTTAGTTCTTTGTAATTCAGTGAGAAGTTTCTGGGCCGTAGAAGTCAGGTCAATCACTTTTCACTGTGTGCACATGTGTATGCGTGCGCGCGCGCGCGCGCGCACACACACACACACACACACAGAGCTATCCAGTAATTTTACCTTGGTATGTGTTTTAAAAATAGAACATGAGCGGTCAAGATTTATGGTGTGGGCTACTTTTTGAAGTCATAAATCCTGGATTTCCTGGGAGAGCTCCAGTTTCCAATAGTCTTTTTCAATGCCCCCATAATTATGACCGCTTGCCAGTGGCAGCTCCTGGATGGCGTGACTATTTGATTGAAAGGGAGACCTAGAGGATTTCGCTTGAAGCCATGTTTGAGTAGCTACCACACTGTTTTTTTTCTTTGATTGCACATTTATTTTAGAGTGGCTTTTGAGGGCACTAGTGGGATTTATGAGTCACAGCTAAAGTTTCTCCAAGTGCTCCACCTTCATAATTATCAGATCATTTGTCCTGAATTTGTGTTAGAAATGATATTCATACAAATAAATCACCCCCAAGGGACTCTGACACATAACACTAAACTGAACAAAACTTTGATTCTCTAGAGTGTAAATATTACAAAATCAAAAATTGAAAGTTTTCTCTTGTGCCCTGATTTTGTAAGAAGTAGCAATCACCCCAAGCCTGTTCATCGTCCATATTTAGGAAATAAGCACCTGTTACCAAAGTTTGCTCATTGCTTCCAGAAATCCAATAAACATGTTTAAGTTCATTGTCACTGGCCAATTAAAACAATAATAAAATATTCTTAAATATCACATTAGTAGAGATGAATAAAAGTGATGCTGTCCTGTGCTGTGGGACAGGTGGGCTCTTACTCTCCAGGGAAAGAGAAATAATTAACCTATCCAGAGGGCAGCCAAAGCCTTAAAAATGTGCATACCCTTTGACCCAGCTATTCTGGGAATCCAGCCTATGGGACTAATTAAAGCTGCAGACGAAGATTCAGTTACAAGAGGGTCCATCAGAGCACCATCTATCAGAGCAGACGTTTGGAAACCACCCAAATGCCTGACTTGGAGGGATCGGCTGAATAAACACTGTTACATCCAGAATTTGAACTCAGTCATATAAGGCATTAAAAATGAGGCCGCAGAAAAGAAAGGTATTTATTAATATGGAAAAGTGATCTCACCGTGTGTGTGAGAAAAGGAGATTTTAAAATAGAATTAGAGTATGATCCCATTTTTGTGAAAAAGCTATGACTATGCACAGAAAATAATCTACAAAGGTAAAGCTGTTCATCTGTGGGTGATATTTATCTTATTATTTAAAATATTAATAAGTAAAATGTTTTCTATAGTGAATATGTACAACAAACTTGCCAAACTTTATGTTCCCAAATTTTATGTAATCTTAAATCACCCCCAAGATTTCTTATGAAATTAAAAATTTTAATCTATGATAAAATTGATTCATATGTCAAATGGTGTTGTCAATGATTGCCATTTAACTAGATTCAATGTCTTATACTTTCTAAGTACAAAAAAAAATTACAAAATATTTTAACCATAAAGGTAAAACAAAAAATGTTTTCCAACAAGCTGAAAGTTCAATTAACCACATTCACTTGTGAAGTATTTTAGTAGCTGAAACAGAAACATTAATGAATTTAATTCACAACTATGTAATCCTGAGTCATAATGAACAATGTAAATAAAAAATGTTAAGAGCTTTCCCTTGTAGTGACTTTTGAGGCTTATTGTGACATATTACAGTGAGTCATTATTTTAGATATCCCAGTTCTACTAAACCGCCTAACCTTTTAATATCAGAAGGGAGGAGGCCAAGCCATCTAATAGCTGGAACTGTGAGATTGTGGGCTTCAAAAGACATAGACTAAAATAAAAAGCAAAAGCATATTAAGTAAGGCTAAATTGCAGGGAAGTAGCACACTTTTTTTTGCAGCCCAATTTTTTCCTTATTTAGAAGAACAAGTACTAAAGACTTCATGCCCCAGAGCCCACGGAAATAAGAAAATCATCTGGGGCTTCCTTATTAAGCTCGATTTTCAGTGAAGGTTGTTTAAACTCTGTAGTATTTCTGGATAGATTTTCTGTAAAGTAAAACCACAAGTGAACCTCTCTGAACTGCATGTATTATTGTGTTATTGTGATTATATATCTTAACACCTTGCCCCACCATCCTTTGCATCCGCTACAAACATATACCCACATCTGGGACACTCGAGGTGTATACCAGTGGCTCCCAAACTTTACCCTGGGTCAGAATCACTTGGAGGGGCCACCTCTAGACGCTCAGATTCAGGAGGTCTGGACAGAATCTGAGACTTGCATTTCTAACGAGTCCCCAGGTGATGCTGACGCTGGGGTCCAGGGCCACACTTTGAGAAACACTGATGTGTGGTAGTTGCAGACCCTAGTGGTGAAATTGGGTGGTGGTTTCATTTCTCCTTACGGTGGGATTGGCAAAGTCAGAGTATATTTGGCGATCAGACCGTATTATTACCCTGAGGCCCCAGGTTATTTGAGCAGGCCGGCGAGTGGAGGATAATAAAGGCTCATGCCCACAACTAATCCCACTCTGTCCCCTGTAGTTGCACTGGTCATGGTGGAAGCTGGGGTCACAGCTAGGGGGAACAGACTGACCCCAGACTGGGACAGTAGCTCCCCTCGTACATTTTGGGGGCCCTCTACTTACCAGGGACTGATAAGTAAATGCAGAACCCCAACAAATATAAAATATCTCAGTAGTAGAAAAAGGAAAAATACTTCTCTATACTTACCATAGATCCATACTTATAAATGCACATTATTTCTATGCCTGTTAAAAAGAAGTTAACTTTAAAATTAGACTTCTTGTATATTATAGGTTAGATAACTTGCACTCTCAAATTACGTCTAGCATCTGCAAATTTTATTTTTGTGGCCGTCACCAATGAAAAATGTATGGTTTGGTTTAATACGGCTAAACTAGCAATAAATTGCCTCAAATGATTAGTCATTAATCTAATAATCATATTCTTTTAAAATACTTATGGAAGTGTTCTAAGACCAGAAAAACACAGCTACAGATGATTTAATTGTGATAGTTTCAAGGAGTCCAATGATAAATTACCATGAGGGTCAGCATCTACAAGAGTGAAAATGGGGATGTGAAATGTATCCCACAGCTTCTTGACTAAAAGTCTTGTGTTCAGATCAGGTACTCCCTTTCCCTAAAAGCAAGATTGAAATTATGCATTTTAATTCTAGGAGAATGAAACTGATAAAACCATATCCTTATCTTACTAATAATTTAAAAGTGAGTTGACATCCTGCTTTCTCTCCACGGCAGCTCTCCTCACTGCTCCCACAAACATACCACACCTCCCAAACATCATACTTACTGTTACTCTAAAAAGCCAAAAGAATTTTATGTAGATGAGCTTTTCTCCTTCAAAACTCTAGGTTTTTATAAAGGTCTGTAAAAGTAGAAGAAAGCCAGGACAGGGGAGGGAAACCTGATCCATTCTGGTCTTCTGTCATCGTTCCACCTACCCACACGCCAAGGTAACTGCCGTTATTCTCACCTGTTTCTTTCTTCCTCCAGCCGGTATCATCCATCCCTCCAGGTTCATGAATTCCTCTCACCATCACCCTGTAGCAGGAAGCTTACTACCCTTTGCTACCTGATGCCTGTAGTTCCCTGGGTTACCTCAACATATTCGTCCGTGTTCTTTGCTATTCTTTGAACATTTAATGAAATTATCTGGTACACAAACCTGGGTGAGGAAAACAAGGTGCAGGTCTTGTCCCCCAACCCGGCCCAAAGCCCCACTGTTACCATATTCTACTCGGGACCAGTAGCTCCTGTGGGAATGGTGTGAGGGTGACACTGTGAGCCTGTGCAAACTCACTGTGGCCTTCAAAAATTGCCCGTATTTAAGAATCAGGACCATCACCCTGATTTTAGTCAGATTTGAGGATATTCAGATAAACACCTTGAAAATTCTTGTTCTATAACCCCAAAGGATGCATCATATTGACAACAGGTTATTGTTCAAGCTGTTTAGATGATGTTATAAACCCCTCTTACCAATCACCAAATTACTACGTTACTCCTGGAGTATTAATACAGGCAGATAATATACCGTAACCATGATGCATGGAGATATTTTGCTGCAAAAGTTGTCATCTAGGAGTCGTTGAAATGTCGCATCTTTTTCCACAATTAATAGAAATTTTGCATCTGTAATTAAATCTGTGAAGTTAAGGCTGACAAATTTAAGGCAAGAGTATTTCAATTTAACCACCAACTAATTAATGGTGTCATATAGATCAACTCAAAAGCAGCCATCAATATAGTATTTTCATTTTTACCTTCAAATATGTAACAGATATCTGTTCATATATGGAGATGTCTGTCTTTCCTACGAGATGGTGACCTCCTAAAAGAATCCTACAGGAGGGACCACGGTGTGTTTGTCTTGACCACTATAAGGTCTAGCCTGTTGGTTACACATTATAAGGCTTGATCTATCAAAGTAATAAATGAATGAACATTCTAGATGTTTAAATAGTTTTCCTATTCAAAGGATACTCCGAATTCCTTGAATATTAGATGGCACAGCAACGGCCTAAGTTAACAAAACAAGACAGTTTTTATTTTAAATAAAAAGAAACTATAACCACATTTTCAAATTTATCACAGAAAATCCTATATTTTAATTTTTAAAAATATTCCTGTCATCAGAGGTTTACACCTCAGTAAGAAAACAGTAGGAAACAGAGTTATTCTTCGGTAAGAAATCAGACACATGACTCAAACTACTTCCCAGCAGGTGAGAATTTCTTGGAAACTTTGGATATGTGGCTTAACCAGCAGAAACTGAAGAAGGAAAGACTGACTTCTTTCTGCAGGATCTCATAGGCGTCATCCTCCTCCTTTCCACACTGGTAAGTTGGCCCTTTCCAAGCTGCTGTGCTAGTGTAGTACTGTGGGCCTTCTATGGACCAAAGCCTAGCAAATAGCTTCGTTTTAAACATTAATTTCAGAACCAGGAAATTTTATGAAGACTACATAAATAACCATGCTAAAATGGTCAGGCCATGCTCCACCTGAAAACAACAGTACATTTTAAAAAGATGTGGACGTTTGTTTATTTCAATGACATTTGACAAATGGTATGTTTTGAAACTCTATATAATGTACAACCTGGTAAAACATATACCTATTTATCCTTCAGCTTTATTTTAAAATCTTAAGCTCCAAACTACATAACAAAGCAGGAAATAAAATACATTTCAAAAATAAAGGATCTGAAAGGGAGTTAAAATATGTGACATTAATGATGCTTACTGTTGCACAGCTACAACTCACTTTGGTGCCATCTTCCTCGATATACTTTAAATTGCCAGCAAGTAAACCTTTTGATGTAGATAACTGAAAAAATAGTAGACATTTGAAAGCTTTTCCATGACTATATTTTATACTGCTAAGTCACTCCTCATATTCACTCCTTATACCTGCTAAGATATATATTTTTTAGCTTAGGTTGCAATTTAAGAAATGAAGGAGAAAATATATAAGTGTTTAGGAATGACAAATATTTGGTAATTCACCTATTTTGGTGCATTCATCCAAGGGAATATATTGAGAATAGATTATTTAAATTTATAGTGAGAAAAACATAGTACCAAAAAATATCAAAAGAAGGCACGGTTCACATTTATTCTCCTAGTACAATTTTTATACATTTTCTTAAAAATAAATTTTTTTGTATTAAATGCTACTTACTATATGTAAACACCTCCTTGGCACTTTCAACATACAAGAGATATCATTGATAATGTTGTCCACAATGGTCTGGTTACCAAAGAGTTGGCTGTCAGTGTAATATATGTCTCTATGAAAATTTAAAACATATATTTTTAATTAACCATATTCTCTTTGACTATGACAAGTATTGGAGTAATGTTTGTAGAAAACTTTAACTGGATGAAACACACATATAAATAAAGTAACCTATTACTCATAGTTTAGTCTTATGTAACTTTTCAAAACGTATAATGAAAGTTAATTTAACTGAATCTCATACTGCTTTTTAAAGAGTAATTTACCAGAACAATGTATTTACCTTTTGGTTGCATAAGTGTTGCTCTGTACTAATTTATAAATCATGGACAATATTTTAAGAATTAGAGCTGAAAAATAAGATGCAATAAACAAGTTATTCATCATTTCTTTTAGGAATTCAAAGCATACTGCTATCAAGGACTTTAACTGTCCCCAGTTATTTCCATGAAATTAAAAAAATTATCTTTTCAAAATAGAAGTGTTAAGTACAGAATATAATTGCCTGAAGAACCAGATAAAATTAATTGCTAAATGAACAGCAAAACTGAGAGAATACATTTCTAGTTACCTAGAATTACAATTTACTTCCATGGTTATTAACAATGCAAAATTCTATCAATTTATTTCAAGTACAATGGTGGTCTATTAAAAAAATAAAATTATTTAACTAGGAACAGCTAAAACTCAGAAGATAACCAAATTTATTTATTACTAAAAGCTAAGAAAGATTAACTTACCAAAATTTTTAACTGATTTTGGTGAATCACTTTTGATTTTCCTTGTGGTACAGTGGGATACCATCTGAAGACCGACAGAATCTTCAAATCTATCATTTTATTTAAAACAAGGGAATAAAATAAAAAATAATTAATTTCTGAGCACCAAACAACATACACTAATGTCCTCTTCTGCAAATCATTTAAATCTACTTTTCAATGTAAGCACTAAAGCTTTAGGATAACCTCAGCTATAAGCTTAGATAATTCCAGGTGATAATTAGGTAATTAGTTTTGTGATGTATAGAGGCACTACACGAAAATGTTTAAAGTGAACGAATTATAGATCTTTGATTATGATGTGTGTGTGTGCATCTGTGTATTTCTTTCCTGGAAAGACATTTAGTGTATGTGAACTATTTTCAAATATTTCACAATTTTAGTAGCTTTTTGCTAATTTTAATAATTGACTTATTTAATAACTTTATTTAATAAATTTTGAAAAAAAATTTCTGATTTACCTCCAAAGTTACATTAAATGAAATCATTTCTATTAGGTTGTTAAATTGAACTACCAAGCCTGTCCTAAAGGTGGCAGAAGGCACCAGGCAAATAGCCAGTTGTCAGCTGCTTCAAGGCTTGATGCAATCCATCTTGAAAAATATGGAGCAAAATGTGATTCAAAAGTTTACATTTTATGTTAATTATATTGAATAAAAGAATACTTGGTGACTAAGGAGCCTCAAAACTACTTTTATTCTGTTTCTGTAACTCTGAGTACTATTCTTGTAGAGTTTTTCATTATGTAGTGGAAAGATTCTACAGGCTGAGGATCTCAGAAAAACAAACCATGTAACTATGTTCCAGGATTTTGATAAAGCTGCTTGCTGATTTTACCCTCTTGGACACATGACTTAGCAGGGAGAGATCAGTTAGGGGAAATAGCCTTTGAAATGTGCTCTGTGTTCAGGACACATTTATTTTTGTCTCGGTATCAGGATTGGTTGTAGGTTCCCTGAGCAAGTGGTTTGCTTCCTCAGTATAGATGAGAATTTCCCCCTTTGATTGCTGGAAAGCTTAGATCTAAGTTTGGAGCCTATTTTTAGCAGGACTGTAAGGCTTTATCATTTGCATTTTGAATTCTAACTTCTTTCGGTGCTCCATATTTTGTTCCTCATATTGTTTTCATTTTGCCGTATCTTTCCTACCTACTTCTAGTTTATATAACCTACTTGCATGGTATGCATTTTGTAAACTTCCTTAAATCCTTTCAGGCAGGGTAAAGGCAATAAAAAGAATGAAACCTGACTAGAACTCTAACATGAATAAATTCAAATAATGACATAGATACTGCATTTAAAAATAAAAAATGCAAAATGCCCACTTTATATTTTCCCAGCTTGATCTGTTGTCTATTGTGAATGCAGGTGCTTCGTTTCTTGCCAAGCTTGTTATTATATCTTGGATAATATTTTCTATAGATGCAAGAACCTCAGAACTGAAACAATAAACACACCATCATTCAATCGTAATTCTAAATTTGGCCTTTACAATATGTAACATTTTCCCAGATCAATAGGGAAGTAACTTTTTGTTTCATTGGTTGTTTTTTTTCTTCTAAGACTAGGTAATCCATGTCAGTAATGATATCTCCCACTAAATTTTGACATATTTGTAAGTACTGCATTAAAACAACTGTATTTACAGTGAAATTTCATTTGCTTGTAATTTTACTTTTCAAACAATTACCCATTGAAGTAATATCTCTCTTTTAGATTAATAACTAGACAATATAATTTATAAATATATTTCAACCTACTTTTCATATTAACCTACTTAACTACAAACACATTCGCTTGAAATATTACTGATAAATGTTTTAATTAAAAATGATGTAATACTGGCTTTGAATTTCTTTCCCAAAAATGCAATGCAAAAATATTTCAAAAGAAACACTTCTTGTTGTAGCACATTGCCCTAACTGATCTTATGACTTAAATCAGCCCTTTTGAATTTTAGTGATACAAAACGAAAAAAGTTTAATCACTACCATGAAAAGACTTGGCAACCATTACGCCACTTTATAGCAAACCATTAAGACTTAGCCCAGTTTTCTGTCAGCTGACTGTTAATTTCACAAGCCATCAGCTTCAAAAAATGCTTTCAGTTATAAATACCATTAGCATATTGCCTAGAATGGGAAATCAAATCTAAAAAATGGGCAAAATGTAGCTTGTTCTAATTTCCGCAGAAACGTGCTTTCATCGGAAACGCCTGTCTCAGAAAATATATTTTAAAACATTCACTATTTTCTAATATCGCGAGATGAAAACTGACTCACGTAATTTATTTTTTTCCGGTTAAAAAAGAGTTGCAGGACAATACTGACCAACTTTTAGATACAATCAGATTAATTTATATCTGAAATGTAAACAAGGGATATCTACTCCCTTCTTTCCCTCAACCTCATAAATTCTCCTTGAAACTCAACCCGTATGTAAAAACTTGTTGGCTTGTGGGTCTTTGGTTCTGTTTTGATAGTTGATTTGGTCTTAAAAATAAAAGACAGTTGTTTGTTTAGGCTGAAACTCTTTGCCGATAAACCAGAACAGCAGATCAAGGAAGCAAAACAACAGAGCATTTTAAGTAAGATTTGGCAATGGCATAAACACATTTTCTGCAGCGAATCCCAAGCTGGGTAGCTGGAGAACCGCGGGAACGGGTTTTATCGGCACCACCTTCCGAGCTGCCCAGCTAACAGCTTTAACTGATGTTAAAGAAACCATTTAAAATACACGCGTTGTCTTCCAACTCAAGAAAACCGTTGTCTTACAAACCAATGAAAATATGTTGACTTCCTTGTTCATTCTGATTAAAAAAAAACAACAAACACGAGTGAGAACTCACAAAATTCATTTTCTCTCACTTTCTCTCCCTGCCCGCCCCCCAAGAATCCTTACCGTTTAAGTTAAAATTTTTTCCAAAACTTTTTTTGTTTTTTTAACAAGCACAAAAATCAAACCGTGCCCTAAACCCCGTGACCTGTAAAGATCTGAGGAGACCTGCGGGCTCAGCTGTGGGGCTGTTCCCGGAACATTCTAGAAGTGGAACATTCTAGGCGATTCCGGGAGCTCGTTTGGATTCAAAATAAGCGTTAAAAGCAGGTAATGGAAGGGGCCCCAAGGAAGGCGCTTTCTGGGGGTTCGGGGACAGCAGGCCAAGGGGGCTCTTTCATGGCCTCAACACCTGGGAAACAGCCTTTTACGTCCTAAACTCAGGAGACGGGACGGGGCACCCGGACATTTCCCTACAGAGGACCCCCAAACCCCCGCCAGGCCAAGGAAGGCGCCCACTTTCTATTTCCTGGGCCCGAGCGCCCCAGCGGAGCCTTCATACCTGGAGGCCAGGTGTGTCCCCCCGCCCGCGGGCTCCCGCACGCCTCTCCTCAGGGTGGCCAGCAGGGAAACTCGGTGCCGATCCAAAACCTCGAAGAACGAGGCCTCAGGCCCCATGGGCACAAACGCCATGGCAACAGACAACAGGGAAAAGCTCCAAGAGCAGGCACTTAACTTGGCCTCGAATGGCTCTTCCCTGCGCTTGCCGCGTGCGCGCTCACAGACCCGGAAGCACACTTTTCCCGCGCTTTCTGGCTGGGGATCCGCGAGCATGCGCACACCTCACCCCTAGAGGAGGGATGCACAGCCGCGTCGGCAAAGCCCCGCCCACTGAGTGGAGTGCGCAGGCGCTCAGGGCTCTGTCAGGCAGTCCCACCTGAGGGTCAATGGACTGCGCTCCTTTTGAAGCGTCGTCTGGTAAGCAACAGGGGCCAGCTGGGTATGCTCGGGATGTTGGACCCGTATTTCCTGAAAATGGTTTTATGGTCCGTTTTTGGCTATTTGGGGAAAGCAGTACCAGAAATTTTGCATTAAAACAAATAGCTATGGCGGTACAACCGCGTGCCAGGTAACAGTTCTAGGCACTGGGTTCAGCTGCGATCAAAGCAAACCACATTCCTGCCCTCGGTAACATTTATGTAGTAGTTGAGGCTTATAAAGCCCGTTTCACTCAGCCTCTCTCTGTTAAGCCTCGTAACCACCCCGGGAGGTTCCTAATGTGATCATGGGGATTTTGCAGGAGAGGAGAAAGTGGGGTCCACAAGTTCAGGCAGGCCTGCGCTCACATCCCAGCTGGATCACTTTGTAGGGCTGCCAGGTTTAGCAAGTTAAAATACAGGACGCTCAGCTGAATTTGAATTTCAGATAAACAATGAGTACTTTTTTTTTTTTTTTTAAGGATAACTAGATCCCATGCAATCTCGGGGACAGACTTTTACTAAAAATTAATTGTATTGTTCTGAAATTCGAATTTGACTGACGTCCAGTATTGTATCTAGCCATCCTGCCATTGGACCCATTCTCCCCGCGCAGATTTGGTGAGCTGCGCCTTTCTCCCTGCTCTGTCCTGGCCTTCGGGAGCATACGTGGGGGTTTTGAAGCCCCGGGGAAGGAGTCGTGCCTCCGGGGGAAAATGTCTTTGAGAGAGAGGACAGTGGGGGAGAGACCGTGGAGCAAGTTGGCTCAGAGGCTAGTGAGGGCCTGGTCCTGCATAATGGGGCCTGGGGTTCTTTGCCCCAGAAAAGCCACCTACAGCAGGCCCACTCTAAAGAACTATTTTGGGGCCGGCCGAGTGGCGCGATGGTTAAGAACTCGCTTGGGATGCCAGAGGGCCCCGGTTCGGATCCCACATATGAGGGCCAGTGACACTGCCCTCCACAGCTAAGATGCTGAACAACAGCTCAACCTGGAGCTGGGCTGCTGTGAGTCGCCGGCGACGGCGTGGGCTGCAGCCCCTGTGGCCGTGGGTTGCCATGGGCTACCGTGTGTAGCCAGCAGCTAGTGTGAACGGCCAGCAGCCGCAGTGAGCGGCCAGCAGCCGCAGTGAGCGGCCGTCTAGAAGCCGGCGACTGATCTGCCTCGCCCGGGAAGAGCGCAATGATGGTGCCAACTTGGGCCAGTGAAGCAACGTCCTCCACAACTAGGCTGAAGAACAAAAGGACAGCAACTTGTCTGTTCCCCTTCCCCCAATTCCCCAGCACTGTTCCCATCCCACAATTCCCCAATTTAAAAAAAAAATCTTAAAAAAAAAAAAGGATCGTTTAAAAAAAAAAGAACTATTTTATTCCTGGTTATTTTATAGTTTTGAAGTGAAAACGCTTTCCCCTCATCAATAATAACGGGCGTCCTCTGTTCAGGATGATGGCTGAACTGTGCCAGGCACTGCGCCGAGGGCCTTCATGACTGTTAGCACAAATACTTCCCCCCTACCCTGGGCCAGGAAGCCTTTGTTACTGAGGACACAGCTCATGAACGAGGCGGCAGAGTCCTTGCCCTTAGGGAGCTCACTGTGGGGTGGGGGTGGGGGACTGGGATAGATAGGTGAACACGTGAATGCTAAAGTTGTCAGGGTGAGAAGTGGATTTAAATCAACAACCCCAAGTGGTAAACATTTTTACCTCCATTTCACAGGTGAAGGAACTGAGGCTTGGAGAGGTGGAGCGGTTTGTGCAAGTGACGGAGTGAAAAGCTATTCAGAAATCCTGACTCCAAATGTGAGCTCTTACCACTGGAACATGAGGCCCACGGATGGCCTGGCTGGGAACATGTGGGGGCTTCCTTGCTGATGGGGCTTCTCTGGCCTCAGCTGTGTCATGTTTCAGACGAGGAAGTCATGGGATGACACCCATGAGGCTTGTCCTCCGGGAGGTATCTCTCTCCTGGAACCAGAACCATGGGCCACGAGTCTGTCTCTTGTGAGGACAGACCCTTCTGGGTCACGTGGTGCACCCTCAGCTGGGAGCCAGTGGCCTCACTAAATCTGACATGAAAGGGCCTGAGCTGGGCGGGGGCACAGGGAGGGGATCAAAACAGTGAAGGGAACAGACGCATCATAAACCTGGCATTCCTGTGGGGAGAAACCACAAGGTGAGGACTTGAAAGGGCCTCGCTGGGGTTCCCACTGCGGTGGACCAAAGCGGGAGGCCTTAGCACATCCTCCCAGGTGGCTGTGGCTCTGCCTCCAGGTATCCAGCCCCGCTTGGGGAACTTGCACGCACGCTGTGTGCACCACCTCAATATGGAAGTCAACCGCAGCCCCAAGCCATGAGAGGAAAGCAGAGAAACGTATCCCATCCCAGCAACAGATCGTGGGTAAAACAGGCAGATGCCACTTTGCGGGCAGTCCCCTTACGATGCTGAGTGCTTCCTTCCTGTGGGCCAGCCATGCTCAGCACACGGACAGTGCTCAAGCTACACTGAGTTGGGAAAAGGAAATGCTTTTCCCCAAGCCCCACTTTCCTCCAAACTCACCCTGATATGCTGACACTTGTCTGAGGGCCAGAGCCTCTGTGTGGGTTGGAAATCGCGACGTTTAAATGAGGCACAATTATTGTATCCAGGTCTAACTCACGAAAAAAAGGGAAAGGAGGCAGGGAAGGATGGAAGGGCCCTTGAGGAGAGCCAGACAGGAGAGGACGTCATGCTTGTTACATTTAAACAAGGGGGTTTCTGTAGCAAATGGAAGTGAATTTTTAACATATTATAGATGCTTGAGAGAAAAAGCAATAATAATTTCTTCTTGAGGCTTTAAGAGGTGTTTTCTTTTGTGTTTTTAACTTGCTCAAAAATTATAAGAATGATGCATGCTTTTCATGAAATAGTGATGTAATTCAGAGGGTATGAAGTAAAAGTGAAGGAAACAGTCCCCTCTGCAGTCACTTGCTGTTCCACCTCGTCCATCTACTCTGGACCCTGCAGTCCTTGGGAACCTGGAATTATTCCTCCTTGTCCCAAGGGCCCTGGCACTTGCTGTCCCCTTAGCAGCTTGGAGTGTTTTCTCCTTTACCCTCCCTACTCTCTGCCTTCCCTCCCCTAATCCAGCCTGGCTAAGTCTCCTGTATCCTTTTGATCTCCGTCTGGACATCTCCGGGGACCAACCCCTAAGGAAGTCTTGACCCCTGGTTTCTTCCTGTCTCGACATGCCTGCATTCCTCTACCCTGTCAGCCCCAGGAGAGCAGGGGCTGCCTCATCCTGGGCTCCACAGCTCCACCCACCGTGCCTGGCACACGGAAGGCACCCAGCAGTGTTGGTTGAATGAATGAATGACTCCCAAGAGATGATCCCTGTTATTGATTTGTAATATTCCAGAGTGTTTCAGGAGATTATGCCAGGAGAAGCATACTTTTTTATATGAATAAGACCCTACTCTAGTCTCCTGGTATCGCTGCCACTGGTCATAACCGTAACTGCAGTTTGCTGATGTTCAGACCCTGGGCCAGCTGCTCCACACACACAAACCTCATTTACTCTCTCCCATGTTACAGGGGAGAGAGTCCAGGCTCTGAGAAGTAAAATTGCTGAGTGTCAGAGATACAAATGACAAAACACTGACAGGAATAGTTTCTCTGCTCTCAGTCACCATGTGGTATTGCCTCAAAGTCAAGGTAATTTAGTGTTGATGAGTTAATTTGCCCATTTTCCATAGCCAGTGATTATATGGCTGGATGTATGATATAAAGCAGACCAACAGAAGAAAGTTAAATTGAATTTTTTTTTTAAAGATTTTATTGGGGAATTGGCGGAGGGAACAGCATTGGGGAATCAGGGAAGGGGAACAGACAAGTTGCTGTCCTTTTGTTCTTCAGTCTTGTTGTGGAGGACGTCGCCCATGTTGGTATTGTGATCATTGCACTCTTCCCGGCTGAGTCAGATCCGTCGCCGGCTATTGGATGGCTGCTCATGGTGGCTCACAGCAGCTCACGCTGGCTGCCGGCCACTCACGGTAGCTTACGGCAGCCCACTGCAGCCTATGCTGTTGCTGGCAACTTACGGCAGCCCAGCTCCAGGTTGAGCTGTTGTTCACCATCTTAGCTGTAGAGGGCGCAGCATCACTGGCCCTCATGTGGGATCTGAACCGGCGGCCCTGCTATTTAGAGCTTGCGCTTCCAAGCCAACTCTTAACCAACGAGCCACTTGGCTGACCCTAAATTGAATTTCAATAAGATCGCCAAAATATTTGTAAGCCTGTGAGCCATCCTATAGATGAAGGCATGGTGTTTGCTTTTAGAGAGAAAGAACGATAATACGTTACCATGGACCCAACACCAGCTTCCATGATTGTCAACTCATGGCCAAACTTTTTCATCTGCACCCCTCACCTTTCCAAACCCCTTCCAGATAATTTGGAAGCAAATCCTAGGTATCATAATATTTCATCCATATGTATTTGAACATGTATCTCTAAAAAAAAAAAAGACTCTTAAAAATACCCAGAGTCCCATTATCATACCAAAACTTATGTTCACAATCATCTTTTAATACCACCAAATATTCCATCACTGTTGAAATAGCCCTGACTAGTTCATGAATTGTTTTTATAGGTCATTTTTGTCCAAGTCCAGATAGATAAGGTCCATCCATGCATGGCTGTTGGTTGGTAGGTCTCTTAAGTCTCCTGAATTCTATAGGTTCC